TTCATGCCTTCCCTCGGTCGAGAAATTCTTTATCCTACTTTATCTTTTCAGCGTACATAAATATTTAACACTTTTCCTTCAGACTTTAAATGCCATGCCATTCTCGGATGATCGCTTTTACCTTAAAAATACAGTGTAGCTCCGGTGATTTGCACGATATCAACTGTGCAAATCTTAAGGTTATCCTCTCCAATGTTTACACTTCCCTACACAGTTGAATGATTGGATTTCTTGGGACATATCATTTGATTTCATTGTGCAGAACTCACTCTTTTAAGATGGGATGTTTTTCAGCGCTTTCAGCTTTACCTGTTACTGTCATTTCTGATACCCGTTGTGCTGTGTTCCCACTTTAGTATTATCGTTTATCCAGCATAAAATATTGGTCATTCATGAAGTATTATTAGAGAACCCTACCATGTTCGATAGACTATTTTCATCCAAATAATAGAACCCATCAAGTTTACCCTGTGCTCCACTCCAACCCTTCATTATAGGAATAAACTAGTTATTTTCATGGTGATGAAGCCTACAAATTGAAAAATTGAACATAATCATCCATTTTTCATCCTGCAGCTGCTCTTTCGCTTGCCTCAAGCTACAGGCCCAGGCTTGGACAGTGACTGTCAGTCCTTTCATTGCGTGGAATTGTCGCTCACTACGTGTCATCGACGACGTCCAGTCCAAAATCAACTCCTCTCTACTGCTATTGCGGCCGCCTCGAGCGAACAATCTGCTGCTGCAACCGGTGTCACTAGCACCAGTGCCTTCCAGGCGGTTAACCGCATCGTCAAGCGCAGCCCAGTACCCTCTTGTGCTTCTTTTTCCACTGACATGCGACTGCTCGTCGTGGGATTCGAGAACGGCACCGTTCAGGTACCTCATTCGTGATTCTTCGTTTCTCTAATTGCTCAATTAATCAGATGCGAGGTTAATATGTGATTAAGCAACATACATGATCATGGGATGTAATTCATTCAATTCAAAGGAGCATACAAAAATCAAATTTTCCATGTCGCCATCGTAAATCGAATTCTTAGTGGTCATTACCCACCTTTCCTCCAGGTGAGGCTGCTCGATTTAATGGCTGCCCTTGATTATAGTGAAGTGAAAACTAACAGTTCATATTAATTTAATATTCGTTTACCATTTATTAAGTTAAAGATCCCACAAATCTTCTTGTCAATCAATTTGCGACGCAACGATAACGCGAATATACTTGCAATGCTCCCATTCTATATTGAAACTTCTATTCGAAAATAATGTTTATCTTTTCAATTTAGGCTATCTGTCCATTACACCTTGGTCAACTTCACATATCTTTATTTGCAACCTTGAAATGACTGGCTTTACCCCTTAGACGATCTCTACTTGGGAAAGCAAGACTTATTCGCTCACTTGGCAACGCTTTGATGATTGCATTCCTTATAGCGTGTGTGTGTGTTTAATAGGTACTGCAGATGAACTGTCCCAAGGACCCACTCCGCGGTTTCAAGCCTTACCGAAACTTCTCAGTTTCCTCGAAAAACAGTTTTTCTGAAGGTGGCAGTGGCGATTTAAGTAAAAGCAGCGGCCGATCGGACGTAGCTAACCGCGACTTGCCCCTTGATATCGTCTCCACAGCTGTAAAGATAATCCACCTCTCTCTGTGGACGCCCCCGACTGACTTTGAGGATTCAGATCTCGAATTCGTAGTTGCTGTCGCCACTGCTGGCGGTACTGTGCATGTAGGTTTCATCATTTTAACCCTACTTATTTAGGAGGTCTGGGAAATTTCCCTTACGGTTTGATTGAATTGGACAGTGCTCGTAGTGTTCGCTGTTCTTGCATCAGCAAGAGACGTATATCAATAAGTTTCCGGTGTTATCGAAAAATAAGCTTCTTTCTCACTGCTCTGATTTTTTAGCACTAGCATATTCTGTTATGCATGATCTTGATTCTGAGGTCTCTCGTGCATCTATCATTCACTTTAGCGTGGCACGGTGAAATAGATGCGAATTGAGTCCAA